TGACTCTCTGTCAGCCTGGCTACAGTGCTGAAAAGAAACTTTGGGTTGTTCCTATTTTCCTCTATTAATGACGAGTAGTACGCTGCTCTAGCATTACGGAGGGCCTTCCTATAAGTTTTAAGACTATCTTGCCAAATTAAACGAGAATTTTCCACTTTGGTGGAACGCCAATTCCTCTCAAGTTTCCGCGATATTTGCTTTAATTTGCGAGTTTCAGTATTATACCATGGAGCTAACCGTCTTTGTTTTAGTATTTTCTTTTTTAGAGGGGCTACAGAGTCGAGTGTCATTCGCAGCGAGCCTGCAGCACTATCAACAAGATGATCGATTTGGGAGGGACTGAAACTAGCATAGGAGTCCTCCGTTACTTTGTGACTAGATAATGTATTTAGACTGATGGAATCGCATCCTTAAATTTAGCTATAGCACTATCAGACAGACATCTTGTATAGAAATTTTTGCCCAATGGCGAGTAGTTCAGCAATACAAACTCAAAAGTTATCAAACAGTGGTCGGACAAAGAGGGATTCTGTGGGAACACCACTAAATGTTCAATTTCAATACCATACACCAAAACAAGGTCGAGGGTGTGGTTAAAACAGTGAGTGGTTCATGAACACTCTGAGAGAAGCCAATGGAATCTAACAGAGAGATAAACGCAGTACTAAAGCTGTCATTCTCAACATCCACATGAATATTAAAATCTCCTACAATAATAACTTTGTGTTTTAAGGACTAAAGTTGACAAAAACTCTGCAAATTCAGATAAGAATTCAGAATACGGGCCAGGTGCTCGGTACACTATAACGAAGAGAATTGGTTGCAGTGATTTCCAACTTGGGTGCGAAAGACTAAGAACAAGGCTTTCAAATGAGTTATAGTTTGGTTTAGGTTTAGAGCTGATTAGTAGGCTAGAGTCGAAGATAGCTGCAACTCCACCTCCTCGGCCTGTGCCTCGAGGAATGTGAGTATTAATATGACTGGGAGGGGTGGATTCATTTAGGCTAACATATTCTCCATCACCCAGCCAGGTTTCAGTAAGACAAATAAATCAATATCATAATCTGAATTAGTTCATTTACTAGTACACCTTTAGAAGAGAGAGATCTGATGTTTAAGAGTCCACATTTAACTCTCCTATTCATTTGCACTATTGCTCTTGTGGTTTTAATTTTTATGAGGTTTTTATGCACAGCTCCTCTTCTGTTTACCTTTTTAAATAATTTCGATGGTCGGGGGACAGACACCGTCACTATAGGATTTTCACTAAGTAACTCCTGAAATGGAGGAGCAGAGAAGTGTGTTAGACTGCGACTCTGCGTAGGGTTTTGGGTGGGTAACTGCTGAAAAAGAAGGGCAGAGAAGTGTGTTAAACTGCGACTCTGCCTCCTGGTCTCAACTCTGGGTTGTCATGGATTTGGTCCACTAATAAACTTGGCCAGATTTCTAGAAATGAGAGCTGCTCCTTCCCAAGAGGGATGGATGCCGTCTCTCCGGATCAGACCAGGTCTTCCCCAGAAAGTCTGCCAATGATCAACAAAGCCCACATCGTTTGCTGGACACCACCTCGACAACCAGCGGCGGAATGACGACATGCGGCTATACATGTCATCACTGGTCAGATTTGGCAGGGGTCCAGAGAAAACTACGGTGTCCGACATTGTTTTTGCATATGTACACACCGACTCAACATTAATCTTAGTGACCTCCGATTGGCGTAACCGGGAGTCATTACCGCCGACGTGAATAACAATCTTACTGTATTTACGTTTATCCTTAGCCAGCAGTTTCAAATAAGACTCAATGTCGCCCGCTCTGGCCCCAGGGATGCACTTAACTATGGCCGCTGGCTTCACTAAATTCACGTTTCTCAAAATGGAGCTGCCAATGATCAGAGTTGGTTTCTCAGCGGGTGTGTCGCTGAGTGGGGAAAATCTGTTAGAAACGTGAACAGGTTGATGGTGCCCCGTGGACTTTGAATGCTTATGACTATTCCTCCTTCGGACAGTCACCCAGCCCCCCTTCCTGGCTGCACAGGGGATGCCGGGGGACGGCTACCACAGGCTAACTCAGGCCGTTCCGCACCGACTACCGGGGACTGGCTAGCTACAGTAGCTAAAGACTGATCTACCAAGGTGCGGAGCCGGACTTCTAAATCACTGAGCCTCGCCTCCATGTCTATAAATAAACTACACTTATTACACGTACCATTACCGCTAAAGGAGGCAGAGGAGTAACTGAACATCTGACACACCGAGCAGGAGAAAGTAGGAGAGAGAGAGGGAGAAGGAGAAGCCATCGCTAGCTGCTAAGCTAAAGTCGCTAACGGCTAAGCTAAAGTACTGTAGCGTCAGTTACCAAAACTTTAGAACAACTATGAGATTGAACAGCAGTCACTAAAAGATGGAAAGAACTGTGAGTGCTTAGGCAAAATTACTGTAAAGAATAAGTGTTTAGCGAACAGTTGGCCGCTGTAATCAAACAAATGTAACTGTTATTTAGCGAGAGCAGCACAACACAGTACCAACACACAAGCACCGGAAACGGAAATGAGTCGACACGCTTACCGCAATACGTTGTTGCTAGAGGTCAGAGGAGAATGGGCCGACTGATTCAAGCTGATAGAAGAGCAACTTTGACTGAAATAACCACTCGTTACAACCGAGGTATGCAGCAAAGCATTTGTGAAGCCACAACACGCGTAACCTTGAGGCGGATGGGCTACAACAGCAGAAGACGCCACCGGGTACCACTCATCTCCACTACAAATAGGAAAAAGAGGCTACAATTTGCAAGAGCTCACCAAAATTGGACAGTTGAAGACTGGAAAAATGTTGCCTGGTCTGATGAGTCTCGATTTCTGTTGAGACATTCAGATGGTAGAGTCAGAATTTGGCGTAAACAGAATGAGAACATGGATCCATCATGCCTTGTTACCACTGTGCAGGCTGGTGGTGGTGGTGTAATGGTGTGGGGGATGTTTACTTGGCACACTTTAGGCCCCTTAGTGCCAATTGGGCATCGTTTAAATGCCACGGCCTACCTGAGCATTGTTTCTGACCATGTCCATCCCTTTATGGCCACCATGTACCCATCCTCTGATGGCTACTTCCAGCAGGATAATGCACCATGTCACAAAGCTCCAATCATTTCAAATTGGTTTCTTGAACATGACAATGAGTTCACTGTACTAAAATGGCCCCCACAGTCACCAGATCTCAACCCAATAGAGCATCTTTGGGATGTGGTGGAACGGGGGCTTCGTGCCCTGGATGTGCATCCCACAAATCTCCATCAACTGCAAGATGCTATCCTATCAATATGGGCCAACATTTCTAAAGAATGCTTTCAGCACCTTGTTAAATCAATGCCACGTAGAATTAAGGCAGTTCTGAAGGCGAAAGGGGGTCAAACACAGTATTAGTGTGGTGTTCCTAATAATCCTTTAGGTTAGTGTATGTTTTGAGAAGATCATTTTTAACTTTTGCTTATTACTGTTGCTTAACCAATTTATGTTAAAATCTCCTTGGAAGATAGTCTCACAGCGACAATTTAACTGTTTAAATAAATCATCTAAATCCCTGTAAAATGAAACGCCATGTGAGGGGGGATTGTATAAAGTGACAATATTAAACTTCATTTTGTTGACAACACTACAGTGATGGTCTAAAGGTGTGTCCAGATTAATCTGGACACATTTAAATGTTTCTTTGATATAGATCAACATACCACCACCCCTGCCAGTTAGTCTGTCTTTTCTGAAACAAATATAACCAGGTACATCAATCATGTGTGTTGGAGTATTGCTGCTTAGCCAGGATTCACTTAGACACAGGAAATCCAGATTGGAGTCTGTCAGTAAGTGTTGAATCTGATCTATTTTTGATGTAATACTTCGAATATTAAGATGCCCTCCGACAATACCCTTTGGTTTAGTATTTGGATCCCATATAACCTTAGCATGATTCACAGTCTGAAAGAATCTAAATTCACCAGCTCCTTCCCATCTCGGGCTTCTTTCCTCCTGGGTCTGAGGATGAAGCTACATCTTACCTCATCTGCCCGGTGTGTGCACTGTCCTGCTACGTAGCGCGCACGGCCATCTGGCACCGTTCACAGCACCTGTTTGTGCACTACAGGGAACAGTCAGTGCCTATTATATAATATATAATATAATTATATAATGCCTATTATTATTGATTATTATTAAGTTAGTACTTAACATTAATAAATTAAAGACCAATACAGACTGTGCTTCAACTTTCAAAATTGCATACCTTTTTCCATAGCACGTGTTGTCTGCTTTACCTCTGATCAGGAGGTAGGGTTGCCCATTTATTGGAAGATCAGTAGTTCGATACCCCAACTTCTCCAGTCTGCAATTTAGAAGTGTCCGCAAGATACTGAACCTAAATTGCCCCGATGGCTGTGCCATCAGTGTGTGAATGTGTATGAATGCTACTTTCTGTTCTTAGCAGTGTATGAATGTGTGTGAATTTGTGAATGTGATTTACAGACCCATTGCCTGCTTGAACTTTGACCTACTGTACTTACTGTAGTTGTGCAATGAGGGATTATTAGTAGTTTGACCTCCAGACAAAATGGTTATAATAATCTGGAGAAACTGTTGGTTTGTTTCCAGCTTCTCTGATCACATACCTTCTCATGTTTATTGCTCTGTTGGTCCTATTTTTATTGATGTTGCCGCATTGTTATCATAGTCAGGACACAGACAGAAGTGATGGTCAGTTATGAAAAATAAACTCAAGACAAGTTGTGTTTGGATTCACATGAGGAAGTTCAACATTCACGCTCCTTTTAGCTCTGGTTTGTTCTCCTCCAATTCCTTAAAAAATTACTCTTTAGCTGCTAAATGCTCCACTATGTTCATGTATAGTAAGGCTAAAGGGGAAAAGTAGCGTCCGGTCTCCTCTGTCTCAGTCTAGCAGAATTGACATAATGACAATGCTTATTAATGCCAGGTATAATGCAAAGGCTTGTCATCAGATGCCATTATCCAGTATCAGATACAGATCACATATTATATACATACCAGAGAGTAATGGGGTAATGATTTCATTAATAATAGGTTATAACTGAGATTGAAATGGAAAGTGCCCCTGAAATAGAAGTGTACCCAAGAAGAGAAAATCACTTGTATTTAGAACAAACTGTAAGTTTAATATCTATGTGCAGAGTGTTTACAGAGCTCTATGAAACATTCATTTTTCAAATAAAATGATCTATGGTGTACTGATGTTGCATAGAGGCGCTCCTCAGGTGCTGCCGCAGGCCACATAGCTTCAGTGACCTTACGCCCATGTGGTTTTGGGGCATGTGTGCCATAGGCCAGCAGTGACATTGTGATGGATGGAGGCTCTCAGTACAGCAGCGGTAACTGGAGGCCCTCTACTAAGCGTCCCTCTGTCACGTTTGACCTCCATTTTCCTCCAACTTACACACTGTCACGCAGCAGCCGAAAGGCCCCTGGACGTCAGCACGTAAGTGATGGAGATTTCGAGAGAAGAGGAAGGAAGCTCAGGGGCCACAGCTAACATCACATGTATAGTGTTTCAAGACAATATCACCATAGATGATTCCACATTTCCAGCACATAATAAATAAAATCCCATTAAATCAGCTTTGGAATCAGTTTTGAGTTGATGTCAGACAGATATTCATGTTCCAGTTTCACAAAATGACACAGTAACAGACAGGCTGTCTGTATTTTCACCTGTTTTTTATGTGCGGCCTGTTGTTGTTGTGCCCTGCATGTCCGGATATGTGTCTGTGCATGCTTTTTTCCAATGCCTCTGCGTCTAGTCACTGCATGCTGTGCACATATGTGTCAGTGTTAATGAAAGGGCTTTGAAGTTTACCTTTAGCACTCAGCCTTTAGCAATCTATGTACAGTCAGAGATGGAGAGAAGGGCAAACCCAGCAGTTTAACATCTTTAAGGCTGACATAACAGTTTAACGGTGAATTGAGTGTATGTCTTAACTAACTACAATCTATTGATATGATATTATTCATTCAATCATTATCTTCAAGTTAGTCTTTTTTCTTAAAACATCTATTCAGCATGGCAGATGGCTGCAGATTACAGGATATGTGAATACATAGGGTGTTTGACTTTGGCTCAGTTTTTGTGAAAGTCTGCTATCAGTAAAAGCTTTTGTTTAATTTGTTAATCTGATGATCTGTCTGTTTGACACATAGTCTTGTTTTCTGTTGCCCCTGGAAGCAGTGTCTCATAAGCAAGACTGGATTACAAACCAAATAGAGCATGCAACTGCCCATGGACCCCAGACTTCCAGGGGCCCTGAAAGCTCCAGGCTTACTGTGTGTCAACATCATTCATTTAATTAAACCAAATAATTATTTGGGAATATGCATCAGTGATGCACAATATCAACTGCCATGACAACGGCCTTAACACTCTACTGCATATTATTCTTCTCTGTGGCAACAGAGTCTTTTTGACCCTGAAACCCTCCCAGTTATAAATACTTTAATTTTTACATGTCACACATGACATGTTTTTGAATGAGGAGAGTAAGTGGGCAAAATGTGTGAATCGATAGTCTGAGGATAGAGGGTGCCATATGCTGTGAATGGTGATGGTAATGTGATAGTAAAGCTAGTTGAGGCAAAATTGTGATCAATGATGAAATCAATGTATCTTGTTGGAAAAAATAAAAGCTAGTGCATCAGTGTCTGAAGAAGCATACTTCTTCCTAAACTGTGATTTCCCATTTGTTGCCTCAAGGCAAAGTTATGCAGTTAGGGTACTTGTTAACTCAATGCCATTCTGATTGAGATGCATAACCATGTAGATGTACACCCCAGTCAATGATTTTGCTATTCTGCAACACATGGTCATTTTAAGGTCTACAAACATTTTTTTTTTTTGACTGATTACAAGATCCAAAACTTAAAAAACAATAATGTAACATTTAATTTAATTTTAACACTTTCAGCGCTATACACTCAGCAGTGTACAGCTAAACAGCAAGAGTGTGTTTAGCTGTATTACAGTATCATTCTCTTAGTCAAGACCCACTTCTGTCCTCTTTCGTCCTCTCAAAATCTCCTGGCTCCTCCTGTTGCGCCTCCGCCGTGCGCGCTGGCGAAGCTCCTTCACTCGTTGCTTACTGGAGAGCCACAGAGCACACTGGCACTTCGGAGTTTAAACCAAACTTTTCCCCTAAGGATTTTACATTCTAATGTGTGTTCATTCTCTGCTCTGTGCAGCTCTTCCCAGTTTCTAACACCAGCGTTGTTTATTTTGTCTTAGACGTTTCTGTTTTTGTTCTATTTTTAATTCAACTGTGCGGTTTCCTGGCTTGATCCATGTGGAAATGGAATATGAGGAGGTCCCTAGAGAGAAACTATCAAGGTTTTGAGGTAAGAGCATCTATATTTCATTACAACGATTTGAGCTGAAGTAATGAAATATTTAGGAAGCAATTTGGCTGAAACCCCGCTCCAGTGCAATGTGCGTGATTTTCGAGTTTATCCATTCATGGGGAGATGGAGGCAGAGTCACCCACGAAACTTGACTGTCGTCGAATGTCGGCTTTATCCCCTTGAAAATAGTTCTTAACATGGATTAATGATAATAATAATAACTGCATGTGTGATGTCAACATTATAACTATAATAATAATATTATGTTATTGTAGTTATTACACGGACAGCTGCTGTAACTGCTCCTCTCCTGGATAAATATGGACCCTCCCGCCCTGTGCGTCCTTCAGACCCTGCTGGTGCTGATGATCTTGCCCCCTGTTGCCTGTGTCCCTTGCCCCCGGCCGTGCTCCTGCCCCCAGCCCACTGAGCTCCACTGCACCTTCCGCTCCCTCATTACCATCCCAGCTGCTGTATCTAAACAAGTGGAACGCATGAACCTGGGGTCAGTCCTTTTGGCATCCACAGCATTGACCTGCTATTTTACTATAGTGTCAGTGATTGGATTACACTGTTAATTCAGAAGAAATGTATAATCTGGTCATGTAGGCCTACTGTTTCTCATGAATTGTGGTTTAATGGTTATAAGAGGCCCATTCTGGTTGGTTCAGGTTCAACAGCATTAATAAGATCACAGACAAATCACTGGCTGGTCTGAGGAAGCTGGAGGTTCTGATGGTCCATGGAAACGACATCCACAGTCTACCAGATGGAGTGTTCAGGGACCTTATTTCACTACAGGTACACCCACCATAAACATTTTACCAATGAATGAATGAATGAATTAATTAATTAATGCCAGCTGTAGCTCAGGTTTGTCCTTGAGCAAGACACTAAACCCCAATGAGGATGAGTATATGAGCCTTTTGTAAGGTCCCATTTTGTATATTTTGTGCATTTGCATGTTCTGTTGATTCTTATGAGATTATGGTATTTCACAGTTTAGGTGGCCAGTAATTGCATTACTTACTTACCCCTTGGGAGTCTCCAAATCCAAAACCTTAAAAAACAGGATGTGACTCTGGCTCCATTTTTTTTCTAGGCTGACCAGATACAAATATGACATACACTGTGTGCACAATTATTAGGCAAGTGAGTATTTTGGCCATGTCATTATTCTAATCATTTTAGAAAATATTACAACCCTGATTTTCCCCCTGAAATCTGACTTTCACTGTTGCTACATGAAGCTTGTATTTAGTAAAATCATTAGATTAAATAGAAATATTCTAAATGTATTGTTGATCTCTCCCTGAAAAGCATATGTGTCTCATCTAAGGGAAATTTGGGATCTTATTTTTAAGATGGTGTAGCAGGGATAAAGAGGTTCATAATGTTATGATTACTAATAATGACTTTCATTGTCCTCATTCCTCGTTGGTTTAGATGTTGAAGATTAGCTACAACAAACTGAAGGAGATCAACAGACACACCCTCCAGGGTCTTTGGGCCTTGGCCAGGTTACACCTGGACCACAACCGACTGGAGTTCATCCACCCAGACACCTTCCAGGGCCTCACCTCCCTGCGGCTGCTGCAGCTGGAAGGCAATCGGCTTCAGCAGCTGCACCCAGCCACCTTCACCACCTTCACTTTGATGGGCCACTTCCACATCTCTACTCTGAGGCACCTCTACCTGTCAGACAACATGCTGATGTCACTGCACTCCAGGCTGGTGGCCACCATGCCTCAGCTGGAGAACCTGTACCTCCATGGTAACCCGTGGACATGTGACTGCAACATGAGGTGGCTCCATGACTGGGATAAAACCTCACCAGGTTAGATGTACATTTCGGCATTGCAATTTTATTTAGACCTTTCTTTATTCTTGTGGTTATAAACAAGGGAACGGATACTTTAGTGTACGTCCGATGATTTATATATTGGAACAACTAAAGATAATAATTGAAGACTGCTTCAAGGTCTTATTTGACAGTGTTGTAATTTTTTCCAGGTGTCTTAAAATGTAAAAAGGACAGGGCCCTTCCTGGTGGCCAACTGTGTCCCATGTGCTCCTCTCCCAGACACCTCCAGAGAGAAGAGCTCCAGGCTGTAGAGAACATGGTCTGCAGCAGCCCCATCATCATCTCTTCTCACAGGACTTCCCTACTTAATGATGTCGAGAGTGAGGTCTTGTCCACAGAGGACTTCAGGGAACCGTTTGGAAACATCTCCCTGGGCCTGTCAGACGAACATGGGAATGAAGTGGATCTGAAATGTAGCATTGGTGAGCCAAGAGAGCTTACCAAGATCAACTGGGAGCAGATCAACCAGCTTCAGCTGGCCTCCAACATCACTTTGTCGGTGGATCTTGAATGCCCCGTTGATAGAGAAAAATATGAGCAACTGTGGCGGTTAATCGCTTACTATAGCAATGTGCCAGCCCACTTACAAAGGGGGATTATGCTCAGACAAGAGCCTCATCCAACCTATGTGTACAGACAGGACTCTGAGAAGGATGCCCTGTACTACACAGGTGTTAAAGTTAATATCATGGCCCAGCCGGCATGGCTGATGCAGACATCTGCAGACCTTCAGCTGAACAGACTTCAATCATCAGCCAAGATGGTAAAATTGATCCTGAGCACGGACTTCTCAGAGACAGTAGAGGTGGAGCTGTTGCAGAGACATAGGAGGACATGGGTCATGACTGAGTCAACCAACATGACTCGTAAAGTGATGAGTGCTATCCTGGGGAGCCCGATTCAAATGTACTGTAACGTGCACAGTTCTGGTCAACCGGTAATCCACTGGATGCTGCCAGACGGCTCCAAGGTGCAGGCACCGCACAGCAGTCCAGACAACAGGGTGTCTGTGTCTAGTGATGGACGACTGGTCATTAAAGCTGTCAGCCACACAGACACAGGAATTTACTACTGCATTGCCAAGCTTCATGGAGACCTTGCTGTTCTGCCATTCCATCTGACAGTGCAGGAATCCTCTAGCCCTCCCCCAGGGGAAGACACCACTGATATACCTATAGAGGGATTTGCAGGGAACCCCATTTCAGTACCTTGCGCAGCCTCTGGTTCCCCTGATGCTGAAATTAACTGGATTCTACCAAGCAACAACATAGTTAGTTTCCAAGCCAACTCATCCAGAGCTTTGGTCTATTCCAACGGCACTCTACATATCCCACAGACTCAGTTATTGGACAGTGGTCATTATAAATGCATCGCCATAAATCAACACGGTGTGGATACGCTGGCTACAAAAATCACTCTCGTCAGGAGCAAAGGGCTGATAAGGCCTTTGAGGAAGTTTCCTGCAAGACCTCAGTCAGCCTCAGGGGTCAACGCTCAGATTAAAGTTCCCACAAAGGATACAGAGGAAGCATCAGGAGACATTGAGGTTACTCAGGTGGGGACTCCAGTGAGCCGCTTGGATCCTTTGAGAAGGAGAATTCCAGCAGGTGTGGTCCCAGGCAGGAGAGGTGTCCATCCATCGAGAAATATTTGGCGGAGGCCAGCAGTGGTTCGAAAACCAACAGGATCACGTGTTGAAGACAGGAAAAATATAGTTGAGAGCAGGAGAAAGATTAATATGTCAAAGAGTAAAATAGACCCAGAGAAATGGGCTGATATTTTGGCTAAGATTAGGGAAAGAAATACTCAGAATACTGTGACACCACTCCCAGGTCAGTATACGACAGAGAGGAAACTTACAAAGCAGATAACACAGTCACAAGAAACTATTGAGGGATCATCGGATGGTTTGACTGTGCAGGAAAAAGAGGGCCAGGATTACTTCACAACACCATACAATCCAGTACAACATACACAAACGAAAACTCATACACAAGGCCAAAGCACACACGAAACATCTAATACCTACACTGCACATAATGCACATCAGCAAACACACAGCATACATGCTACTGCAGAGCCACACACAATACAGAGTACATACAGTGTACCACACACAAGCCGTGATATGAACTTGGATCTATCCACAACTTCAAACAGTGTATTTTTCCTCGCACAGACTACATCTGTTCCTCTACAGGCTGTCACTTTCTGGCAGGCTAGCACAAACACTGCAAGCAGCAGCAGTACATTTTCTCTACAAGAGAACCTTAGTACAAATACAGATGTTGATAGAGTCAAAACAGCTGATTTGTCCAAGGCATTGGAGAGGAGCAAGAATATGGATAGACCAAATGTTGTTGCCAGCTCTAATAATGACAGAGAACTCTTTTCAAGTGGAAGTCAAATTATCCCTTTGGTCAACCCAAATGAATCAGAGACAAGCCAAAAGGAAAATGGAAAATATCTTAGTGAGACTGCAACAACGTCACAGTTGCATACTCAGCCAAAGGACACAGTAAATGATCTGCAATCTCAATCAGTGCTCACAATAGCATCTCCAACAACTACACTTGTACCCACCACTACAAGAAAGAGGGGGTCTGGAGGGCAATCGCTGCAGAGCCAACGACAACCTTACTCTAGGAGAAGGAATGGGGCTGGTCGGAGAAAACAGACAAGAAGGAAACAAAAGCTGAATAAACTCACCAAGTTTATAGCCACCACACCTACAAATGCTCCCCTAGCAACAGCAAGGACCACTGCCTCCACACAGCTAAAAATAGAACCATTAGAAGTTACAACAGCCAATTTCAATACCACTGTTCCATTCAGTGGCAGCCAAGCAGCGTCATCAGGCAGACTGAGTCATGAAGAAAGCACAGTTTCAAGGCATGACGGCGAGGCAGCCACCAAACTCTTTTCACTACCAGCTTCTCCCCGCGAAACAAACAACAGTCTTCAACCCCAGGCCAAACCACTATTCAAAAGCACATCAGCGGCACTGTCATTTCCAACAGCCTTTCCAGGAGTGGGTCACGGAAGGACAAGTTCTCAGACAACCTTAGGAATCTCAGAGAGTGCATCTCCACCAGAGCACTTGGATATACTCACATCAACCACTCAGCAGGGGTTTACAGGCAGCTCTCATCTACCTGTTAAGCCCTTAGAGGAGAAACAAAAGGTGACAGGAGACCTTGGACCTGCGCCACCCTCTGACAATTCTTCTAGGAATTTTCACGCAGTAATACAAGTTCAAGAAGATGTCAGGCCAAATCAATCTGGCCATGAATATACAACCACTGAAAAGAGTAGAAAGATGCTTTTGAGAGAAACTGGCATGTGTTTTTCTCAACTGCCATCCACATCCACCTCAGCTGCTTCCTTGATCGAACATCAAATCAAGACAACCTCTGAATACACTTCAAGTGGCTTAATCACGACACAGAGCATGCCTTTTGATTTAGACACAGAACAGGTTACCACAAAGAAATCAACAGTACCTAAAAGATCGTATTATAGTTTTCATCAAAATAAAACCAGTGAGTCAGAGTTATATCGACATTCCTCAAGGCCTACTACTGTGACCCCATCCGGAGTGGCACCACATGTCACACTACACAAAACGTCTTCTACTGTAGCTATGAGCCCTTCACTCAGGGCCACCACTCAGGAGGCTCCCAGGATCACCAATATTCCAGACAACAAGAGTCAAGACCAACAAATCCAACCCATCACCACATCAGATCCTAGAACAGCAGACATCCATACTGTAACCCACTCAACTGACCACAAACTGGATGTATTTATCAGTACAAATCCATCTTTGCCAACCCTAAAATTTACTAGAGAGCAGACAACTGAGCAGACGGCCACCCCTGCCCCAACAATGGCTGCAGTCCAAACTAATCCATTCAGAGACGGACTGCTAACAAGCACTCAGGATGTGTCCAGAAAGCACCAGCTACCTGGACAAGGATCTATTCCAAGAGGAAAGGCAAAGATAACTAAGCGTAATTTCCACACTTTCACTGTGAAAGCTGAAACAGATGCTCAGCTTCCCTGTGAGGCTGTGGGTGAGCCAATGCCCTTACTGTCATGGACTAAAGTTGCCAGCGGTATGTATGACTAAACCTCATAACTCAGCTTTACGTTAATTTTCAGGTTAGTCTTGGCTCTTCCTTCTTTACAAAAAGTATGGAAAATGAAAATAATTATTAAATCAATGTAATCGCATAGTGTGTAAGACCCCAGAATTTATTATTATTGTTTTTATTATTGTTGTTGTTGTTGTTGTTATTATTATACCAAGTCAACTTAGATATTAAATAACTCAGCTTTAAGAATAAAATCCATAGCAATACATGAGTCCAGCCAAATTATTAAATCCTACTTGCTAATGCAAAAAAGGTCAGCTCCATCACAGTTACATTGCTCTACAGCTCAATAATCAGGATGGTAAGATAAGTCCCAAAGGGGAAAGGAAGTCCCAAGGTTTCATTACCAAGAAGATCACTTTTAATAAACGCTTTAGCCTCGATAGGATCTTGAAAAGAGTCCTCCTTCCCTGCAATATCCTCTGTCTAATAATTAGCCAAAGAGAAAGTATTGCCCGAAGCATGCATTTCTCCAAATGCTACCCATTTCTTCACCAGCTCAGCAGTGAGGTCCAGGAAAATTGAAACACGGTTACTGAGTATTGCAATAGGTTTAAGCAGCTGGTTCTCCTTTTTCGGGTGTGGTTTTTCAAGTTTTACAGGCCCTCAAGGATGGATTAATCATCCAGTTTCAGATCTTGTAGTAACTGGCCAACAAAGTGTGTTGGCTGTAGTCCTCAGATATACCAATATTGTGGATGTTATTTTGCCTCTGTCTGCCTTTAAGGTCTTACACTTATCTTGCAAGTTGGTAACATCAGCTGAGAGTTTACTTATCTTATTAGTCAGATCCAAGACAATCTCATTGCAAAACACTTCTGTCTTTTCAAGCTACGTCTGACGACTTACCAAAAAGGTGCAATGGCAGCTGTCCTTTCTCTTGTGAGTGCTTTATTGTCCTCCTTTAGAGACACTGGCACAAAATCAATGTTACAGAAAATGTTGGGTTGAGGCTCAGTTGCTTCATTCAGTCCTTTTACTGTTTAAGTTCTTTTGATTTTGCTGGTTGTTCTAGTAACAGGTATTCATAGTGTAAAACACAGTAGCATTCTGTAGCCAAAGTGGTGAGGGCACAGTCTGATTTAGCTTGATTAGCTGTAAGAATAAAAAAGGGTTTCCTTTTCTGAATCTATCTGATGTGACACAGCAGACTGCAAGTCTAGAAGAAAATACATTGACACTTTACAAATGCTGATACAACTGTATCCATTGACTTTATGAACACACAAAAAAATTTAAAATTAAAGTGCAGGTAGCTGCTGTCTTCGATGTATTTTAGCTGCATGTGAAAAAATATAATTTTAGATGACCAAAAATACCAGATATGTTTGCACATATATTACATTGTGGAATGTCTGTCAAATTTGCAATTATTATTGTTCAATATGGTTAGACATTCATCATCAGTGAAGATACTGTATGTTTTCCGTATATTCATGATATGTGTAAAGTACAGCACAATTCAGAATGGATGAGAATGATAAGATGTGACACAGGCCTTCAGGCCACATTATTATTAAATGGAGGAAGCCAGGCTACATTATGCAAATATTAAATAATACAGTATTTCACAGTGTGACAGCTTAAGATAGAATTACATGGGATCCTCATTTATACACCGTTCCATATAGCAAAACTAGATTCCAAGAGAATTAGTAACAAATATAGTAAACAGCAGAGTATAAATTAATAACATTATGTATTAGATGCACCATATTTGTTATAGACAAAACAATAAATTAAAACAAGCCCCTATATTATTTTTCAAAACTTTAAAGGTAGGAGACTATTTTCCACATTATAACATGACAACTGTGTAGTGATCAAGAAATATATTGCCTGATATTGGTATTGTTTTAATACTGCATAACCCCAAATTATGTTATGTGCTAAGACTTTTAGCATTTTTTTTCCTGCAGTATCTGTACAAAGCAACTCTCCAAAGGCACTCTCCTTTCTGCATTGGCACTGGACATAAATTGCAACCTGTGAAATCGTCCAATATGAACTGAATGCCAAGGATAACTGGGTTGATCAAAACATGATGTATTTTAGTACAATATGCTAATTTATGAAAACATTGTGTTTGTTTCATTGTGACATTGGAAATGTCTCTCTTTCCATTCATACAGGGGCAAGTATTGCTCGGAATACCCGGGTCCAGAGGTTTGAGGTCCATCCAAATGGTACATTAATCATCAGGAACACACAGCCCATGGATGAGGGCCAGTACCTGTGCACGGTCCAGAACCATCATGGCACAGACAAAATGGTAATCAGCCTTGTGGTCCTGTCTCAGCAACCACGGGTCCTTCAACCTCGGCACAGAGACATCACTGTGCATCTAGGTGGCAAAGTCGCTTTAGAGTGTAAAGTGGAGGGGCACCCTACGCCTCAAGTCACATGGGTACTCCCTAACCATGTCCACATGACTACTGCCGCACTTAGTGTTGTCGCTCAGCAGCGTGTGGACATCTTCAATAATGGGACCCTCCAGCTCAGCCAGGCCACTTACACAGACAGAGGGATTTATAAGTGCATTGGCAGCAGCGCAGCCGGAAGCGACACAGTTTCAGTCCGCCTTTATGTCTCAGCATTGCCACCTGTCATTCAGCAGACACAAAATGAGAACATCACCCTCTCTGAGGGCAGCACTGCCTACATCCACTGCACTGCCACAGGTGACCCTCAGCCTGTCATCCGCTGGATCACACCTGATGGCATACAGCACACTGCTTCCCAGTTTGTTACTGGACACAACCTCATAGTCTTCCCCAATGGGACCCTCTACATACAGGGACTGGGCCCGGGAAATGCTGGGAGATATGAGTGCTCGGCCAGTAACGCAGTGGCATCCAGCAAGAGAACAGTGATCTTGAGCATAAAGCGGAATCCATCCTCTGGCAAGGCCAGTATCACCTCATCTTCCCCCCAGAAAACAGATGTGATCTACGGGAGGAAGCTGCTGCTCAACTGTGTGGCAACAGGAGAGCCAGTGCCCCGGATCATCTGGAGGACGCCCTCTAAGAAGCTGGTGGATGCTCAGTACAGGTAACAAACACACAAGCTAATTCATAATTTTTCTACATCCTTAATAAATGTCTATATTTAATGTCCTCTGAATGCTATTGTTTTTATTATCTTTGCAGTTTTGACACCAGAATCAAGGTGTTCCCGAATGGCACTATAACCGTTCATTCTGTGACTGACAAGGACAAGGGAGACTACCTGTGTGTGGCACGTAACAAGATGGGCGATGACTACGTTCTGCTGCAGGTCAATGTGCTCACCAGGCCGGCCAAGATCGAGCAGAAGCAGCAGCGATCCAGTCAGGAAGTGGTGTACGGTGGAGACCTGAAGGTGGACTGTGTGGCCTCTGGTCTCCCCAACCCTGAGATCAGCTGGGCACTACCGGATGGCACCATGGTCAACCCTGTCAAACAAAGAGACAGTGTCCGCATGGGGCGTAGTCGCAGGTAAGATACCTCCATTAGTCTGTATCCCAAAAGGAGTTCGACTTAGTCTGCCTCTCTTTGAGCTACCTGGCTAACATTGGATTTAACCTCTTAAAATCAATTCTCGCCCTTTCCCCATTAATTAGCTTTAAGGGTGGAAATCTTCATATTCCACACTCTGTACCAGTGTCATACATATACACTCAGTTGCCAGTTTATTAGGTCACCTATGCTGAAACTAATGCAGTCTGGTTCAACTTTATGCTAATTCTAGAGACTGTAGCTTGTAGTGCTTTTGAATTGTATTGTGTTTACTAAGGGTTGTATCTAATATTTTGTTCACCCCTTATTTCACTCATAGTAAACTCTGAACTGAATCTTAACCTCTTATCTCACTTCTTTATACCCTTACATTACACATCAAATCAAGGATAACAGTATAATTGTGTTAAATAAAATCCCCTAATTTCTGCCTAACAGTGCTATTAAAAAGAAAATGTAAATGTAAGTAATCAACCTTTCACCGTTGATGCTTTTGTCACCATCTAAATGTATACAGGAATTCTTACACACATCCCCAATCTCTGATTCTGAATCAAACTTGAATGATTGAACGAAAGAGGATTTATGAGAATTTCTCAAAGTCTTACATTTATCTGACGCTTTTATCCAAAGCGACTCACAATTGCTATACATGTCAGAGGTCGCATGCCTCTGGAACAACTAGGTCTCCCACACCAAAGGCAAGCATCTTATCTATGCGCCATCACCACACCACTTAACATTTGCATTGTGTGTAGCCTGTCTTTAGCTTTGCTAGTGTGTCTTATTTAACAGTAACCTGCAATTAATCAATTAAGACATTTAAAGATTCATTGGAAATTTCCATATGTCCATTATCAACAACTCTCTGACTGTGCTATAGTGGCAGCTCACCACCTTATGAAAATTAATATATTGTCAGGCTATTAAGGTTGGGTAGCCAAACATGTTTCTTTCTGACACATAATAGCTGACCACAGAGCATCTTTCTCAAAAACAACTTGAAGATAAATACAGAGCATACATTACTGGTATGCAAAGATATTCACTAACAGCTTTCATTCATCCGGACAATTTACAAAAAGGGACATGACATAAAAGAACCATTTTTCATTTTTTTCATTTCATTGTATTTGAGTATTCTCTTCTCAGTAGGAAAATAGCTACATTTGTCAGTCATAATGTATGATTTCCAAATATTAACAACAACATAATTGCTTCTATAAAGGTTCTATTTCATTCCATTAATGCATAATAATTCAAAAGCTGACAGCTACAGTCATCATAGTGTAACAATCAGTATTCTTCTCCGTCCTTTTCCTTTCTGACCTGTACATAGGTATGTGGTGTTTGATAATGGGACACTGTACTTCAACGATGTTGGCATGCCAGAAGAAGGTGACTACACCTGCTACGCCGAGAACCAACTTGGCAAAGATGAAATGAAGGTTAGAGTCAAGGTCAAGGTTGCAACTTCCCCACCACAAATCCAGGATAAAGACCAAAAGATTGTCAGGGTTATCTATGGTGAGACTGTTACACTGAGATGTAACGCCAAAGGGGATCCAATGCCAGCCATCACATGGCTATCCCCTACAAACAGACTGATCTCACCAGCTTTAGACAAACACCAGGTCCTGGATGATGGGACATTGGTGGTTCAAAAGGTCCAACGTTTTGATGGAGGTAACTACACTTGCATGGCCAGGAACAATGCAGGACAAGACCACAAAGTCATCAGGATAGAGGTCCTGGTAACATCTCCAATGATCAACGGCTTAAGAGGAACTGCCAACACCATCAAGGTGACTGCAGTCCAGGATCAGCGGAAGTTGGTGGACTGTGTGGCAAAGGGAACCCCCACTCCTCGCATCATGTGGGTTCTACCAGGAAATGTGATCCTTCCTGCACCATACTACAGCAATAAAATGACAGTTCACCAAAATGGTACCTTGGAAATCCAATCACTTAAGAGGACAGACTCTGGGCAGCTGGCTTGTATTGCTCGTAATGAAGGAGGGGAGGTCAGGCTGGTGGTTAACTTGGATGTGAAAGAAGTTGTCGAGAGGCCACAAATTAGAGGTCCCAAAACAGATAGCTTGTCGCTAACTGTGGGGAATGCCATGATGTTGAATTGTTCCTTTGAGGGCTCAACACTACCCCATGTCACTTGGATCTTACCCAACGGTACACCTTTGCATAGTGGTGCTCGGTTTTCAAAATTTTTGCACCAGCCTGATGGCTCTTTGATCATTAGCAACCCTTCTGTTGCTGAAGCTGGTATGTACCGCTGTCTGGGGTATAATTCTCGCGGGCTTGTGGAGCGTACAATCACATTGTCCCCCGGTAGAAAGCCAGAGATCAACAACAAATACAACTCTCCTGTCAGTGTCATGAATGGGGAAAGAATTTTGCTAAATTGTCTAACCAGTGGTGAACCCCTCAGACTAACATGGACATTACCCAGTGGGGTTGTCCTCAACCGGCCACAAATAGCTGGACGATATGCTGTACTTCCCAATGGGACGCTTGCCATCCAACAAGTATCAGTCTATGACAGGGGGTCCTACATTTGCAGAGCTGCAAATGAGTACGGCAGCTCTAAGCTTTCTGTATCGGTAATTGTGATTGCATACCCACCTCGAATTACCAACGGCCCTCCCTCTGTAACTTACGCCAAACATGGAGTTGCTGTTCAGTTGAACTGTGTAGCAACTGGCATCCCTAGAGTGGAGGTAGCATGGGAAACACCTGATAAAACCCGCTTGGCTGTCATTGCGCAGCCGCGCCTTTTTGGAAACAAATACCTCCATCCGCAAGGTTCCCTGATCATCCAGAACCCGACACAAAGAGATGCTGGGGTCTACCGATGCACAGCTAGGAATGTCATTGGCATAGACTCTAAATCCACATTTCTCAATGTGTTCTGAAGGATTTCGCTATTCATCATGGTCCATTTTCATACTGTATGCCCAAGCAACTGCCTAGTTAAAAGCAGCTAATGTTTTTAATGATCAAAATGTTGTAAAAACTGCTGTCACAATGATGAAATAATGAGTTAATTAAATCCTGCAAACCTGTGCTTATCTGCTCTTCCTTCATATGGGCTGTAATTTAATAACTTCAGTGTAGTTATATGTGGTAAGATACATGTTGGACCAAGGACTATAGTAAATGAACCAAAACAGTTCCCTTCTATGCTTCTAAGTTTAGGAGTTGTGGAAAAAATGGCCACATGATGGCAACTTACCAAAACTCAGTTCCTCCTTTGCCACTTTTTCCCACTCACAAAGCTAAGTGGTTTTCAGTAGTTTTGGATATCCCTTGCTAACAGACAAACTGGACCAAAAACAGAGTCTTTGCATCGTAGCATCGTCAGCTGTACATGCACCTTTGCTTTGATGACGTAGTACAGTTGCTTCAATGACAACAATGACTGATTATGTCAAGCTGTAATGAATTGCAAAACGTCTGTATTTTCTAACTTGGATCTATTGTTTAACTTAATAAGAAAATTTACTGAAAATGTAAAATGTTGCCTTTTGTCTTTTACTGAATTTGAGTAATCATTGGTATCTTGTGCCTTTCAGAAATGTCCATCTTACAAGTTTTTCTCAGCCGCTTTATGAACATTTCTCAGATCAGAATTGAAATTCTCAAAACTACTTGTTCATCCTCCACATCATCTTGTCACATCATAAAATCAATTTCTCATCGGTTTGAACAAATTGTAAATGATTTGACATATTGATAATTTTCTGCTGTTTTCTACATTATCAATTGCTTATGTCATGCTGTTCACAATGTATTATACCGGTTCTCTGTTAAATTGGCCTACCCCAAATACTTTGTACTGTTGAAATTGATATGCCCTATTAAAAAAGTGCAGCCTTGTGCATTTTCAATCATTGTCATCAAAACCTTAGCCATAGTGTACATCAGAAAATACTTACAGACTACATTGTTATATTGACAACATGACTTAACATTTTGACTATCTTGTTCGTGAACAGTGACCAAAGGACTTGTCATTCTGATGGCACTGACATGTTCACTGACATAAAGATTTACTTTTGAGAGATAGACTAAGGATTTTAAGCAAGTTACAGGCTTTTGCAGGTAATCCACTGTGTAGTGCTATGATGTGTTTCAAGAAATGCACTTTGTGTTTTGCAAATGTGATGATTTAATTAATGTACCAAAGCGACTGAGAAAAACTGTAAGTATTTTCTCTATGTTTCCATAACTGAGTCAGATATTTCAATAATAACTGTTTCCTGCTCTCAGCAGTCTTTGAATCTGCTTCCGAAAAATGCTGATACAAGTTCAATGTCCTTATTTGTAAATTATTTGTCTTTGACAGACTGTGATGTATAGCAATTTGCCCATATTTTAATAAAAATATTTCCACCTGTTTCTACTAAGCTCAGAGTCAAAAGCAAAAACTTTTTTTTGCTGAAGCAGGGAAAGCAAAAGATTTGGTAAATGATGACTCAAGAATGTTTGCCACTGTACCATTAATGACATTCATAAGTGAAAATAACAGTTAATAACAATAACTTTTGTCAAAAAACATGGATAGGAAACATACAGGAGTTTGTGACTTATATATTGTGACATATACTTTTTCACAATTAAATTTTCCAAAAGTTGAATATAGTTTTTGTTCAGCTGACCTTAGAAAGCAAAGCACAGATACAAATCTGACAAAATACTCAACTTAGCATTTTGGATTTAGGAAGTAGGTCACCATTACTCTCAAAGACTAGGCATTTCCAATCATTGCTGTGGGAATACAGCTGCAGTCTCGTCTTCCAGAGAGAAGAAACATCTGGAGCCATGAGGAAATCCCCCATTAGTTCAGCAGATTGGGCCTGAAAGAGTCACACTTTGAGAACTTTCAGTATCTGTGACTCTCTCTGTTAAACCTGGCATTCATCACAGTGACATTTATAACAGTCAGAGCACTGGGGTTAACCAGTGCTACACTGTGGTGCCTCATCTAACGTCCACCCAAATGATCTTTAGCTTTCTTCTTACAGATGAAATCAACATCTTCCAACCTTAAAACTGATTAGAGTGCTGTGATGCATGTTTCCCCCCGTGTCTAAAGAAGCCTGACAGCTAAACTAGATTGCTCAAGATGCTCAATTCTGTCATGACCTCCTCGCATTATAAAGCTGTCTGTTTGTGACCCAGAACCTGCTTGAATACAGTTTGGAAAAGCTCACATCTTATGCCCACCTGTTTGCTCTCATTACTGGAGGAAGACAGTCATCAGCATGAAGTAATGCAACGCTTTCGGATGTTTACGCCGTTCACATGCACAGTTACTTTCCTGTGCTTATCTGCTCTGATTTCAGATGGTCTATTACAGAATTTGACATCATAGGAAATTGAAAAAGAGTCACTGTTTAAGGGATTATTGCTAATCGAGGCATATCCTCTTCCTCTCAGATGCAACAAAATGAAGAGACGCTTCAGGGAGGGAGCCTACTATGATCTATGAAAGTCAAGATTTTGACATGGCACTGTAGCTGATTGACGAATCAAAGATTGTACAAGGGAGCTCTGGCTGTGGTGAATTTGTGTCCTACAGCAACACAATCGATACATCTGACCACCAAGGCACTTTGTGTCTGAGCAACAGATAAAATTAATTTGAAGAAAAGTTGCAAGGACTGCGCCATCAGAAGAAGACGGTGTAGATGTGGAGATTCCTTGGTAATGAAAGCAGCACTGAGCTGTGATGTTGACATTTTCATCGGACTCAGATTTAGAACTTTGAGCTAACAGTAAGTGTGCATGTGTGATTTGCGAGTCTGTGCGTGAAGTATAATTCATCTGCAGTTGTTCACATTGTATGATGAAAAATGCCAGTTTAGGGGGTATTACCTAATTTCATTGTCTTACTTGTGCTAATGCAAATGTATGTTGACCCATGTGAGTTTGTTTTTTCAAAGTCGATGCTGCCTAAACTATGTTAGCACTATGCTGTGTTATTGTCACATTGAATGAAGACATGCAATTTAATTTAGCGCACAAAAGCGTTGGCTTGTTCCATTATCCAACTTGTACAAATAAAATTTAACAAGAAAGTCTAAAACCGGAAACAGAGACCGCTCATCTTCAAAGTAAAATGCCATCGTTTTTATGGTCAATTTAAGGATAGCTAAACTTAACAAATAAACAAATGGCTTAGCCTTAATATTGAACAAAATTCAGAATTGTCGTAGGGCCTATTCCTCACACTTAATCAAATAACAACTGCAGATGAATTATACTTCACGCACGGACCTTTGTGACATGATTGTCAACGACGGCCATCCCTTAATGATTTTTCAAGTTCAAATAAAGGTCATATATAATATATATTTCTCGTCGACAGTGTGTTCATTTGAGAGCTGTCTTCATGAAAGCTTTGGTTGATAGTAAATCATATGATCAGCAGTCTCAGTAAATAAGCTGCTAAACTGAAAAAGATGAAAATGTCGGGGCCTTGTTAGTATTTTGTGGTAGGCTCAGAAAATCTTCCTGACTGCTGAGAGTTCAGTCTATTTACATTCTACCAATCACATGAGAATTTCTGATTTCCAATGAGCCTTTGAAGAGCACCAAATACAGTATTGGCCTTTTAGTATTACTAGGACAGGATATCAAACCTCCAATACGTTTCAGTATTATCCAAAATATATCTGTAGCATCAAGTACTGAAAACTGATACTTAGTCTTGAGTGTTAAGTGTTCTGTAATGAGACATTTCCTGATTTCTGATCGGGAAATCAGGAATCCTTTTCTAAAAATTACAAAATTTACTGTTTTTGTAAATGCATTATTGATGAATGATTGCAGTCAGTGCTAACCTCTGTATTTCATGTAGCTGCTTCACAACAAAGGCACCCTGTTTGTCTTGTCTGGTTCTGGGCAGGTAGTGTACAGTGTGTTTATCAGGGCTTTTCACTGAAAACACCTGCCTGCTTCTGCTGCTGCTGCTGCTGGAAACAACGCTAAAACATGCTGGGGGGGGGGGGGGGGGGGGGTTTCGCTTTGAGTTTGTCACTACAAGTGATTCCTTTCACATTACACAGTCATTTGATCCATTGTTGATGTAGAACTACTGATTAGAGCAGCAAAGACTGTACTCTGCTCTTGTACTGTGGCTTGTGTTCAGAACATTACTCACTGATGCACCAAGAGTTTAGTAGATTTTATTATTGAATAAATGGTTTTGTAGGAAAAAAATCATGGCTGTTCACCAAACTAAGATATGTACAGGCTCTGGTATTGAAACAATTATAAATTAAGTACAGAACTGTTTTTGTTTGGTATTGAGAAGTATAATGTAATGCAAGTATCTGCTGCGTCTTGCTCATAACTTTCTTCTGCACAGAGAAATGTGAGAAATGTTTTCTCTATACGTTAATTTGAAATCTGAGTAGCACACCATAACATCATTTATTTGCTCAGGACCCTTCAAATGCACATTGTAATATATTTTTATGCATTTTATATTGTTGGCAAAGGATTACTTCAGTCCTACAGCTCTGATTAAGAAGGAAACATTTATCATGTTTCTGTATTTTTTATCTTTGAATGTTGCTTTATGCTCTTGTGTTGGTCTTCATTATTTGCTAAAAAAGTTTCTAAGACAACATATTGAGACATTTTTGCACTATAATGCCCCAGGACAAATTCTCTTTCAGCTCTTTTGTTCTGATTGTGAAGGAATAGTGAGAAATCTGTTGATGCTTTGTGCTTTTTTTAAGAATCTTTCTGCTACCTCTGTTTATTAGAGCCTTAGAATTCCAACCTCACAAAGTTTGTTTCTTGAATATTAATGTGAATGCACTGTATTTCACCTGCTGTTTTGTTTCAAACCGTTAACACATACTCTGGTTCCAGCAGCTGTGCGGTGAAATTTGGATCATCTCCCACTCTGGAAATAGGTGTCTATGGGCAGATGTGAAGACCAACATGCTGCTGAATTATGTTTAATTTGTTCTAGACCACAGTCGCAGAAACACCAACAGAGAAATCCTCTTTCACAAGCTCAATGAAAAATGTAACCTAGCAAGTCAAGAGGTAACAAATTGACCTGGAATGTTCCTGAAGATGCATCTGTCCATTAAATTTCAGAGTGCAAAATTGTCTAATTGTGGGAATCTGGATTGGTTTGCGGCCCACTTTCAGTCGGCAGCCTGCCATTGCAAGGACAGACTCCACCCAGCTGCTCTGCCCCATCAGGAGTCTTGAAATGAGTGCAGACCTGAATCCCCTCCACAGCTGACTGTCATTACTCTTGCAATCCCCAATTAGCCTGATCGCAGAAATTGAGGCTCATTAGAATCCAGAGCCGCCAGTTGAACCGCTCATGTGACAGCTTCCACACATGATGAGTGGAGGAGGTGGTTCAAAGCAGTTAACCCAGAAACATATGGAGATACTTAGGATTCTCTGACAGTTATCACATTTCTTTTTCGTCCTCACCGTGTATCTGAAGGCACAGCATGGCTTAAATAACAGCTGTACCCTACACCTGCACACACACACAAATTCCCTGCTTCCTTTTTCTCTCCTCTCTCTCACACACACAGCCTCATCCACAATCATCCCCAAATCTCAAGCACTCCATAGAGCAGAAAGCTAGTGTACTCATCAAGCCCCAGAGGAGTTCCAGATGGGGACATTATCAGGACTATTTGTTCATCTAAACACACTAAAAGAGGTGGGAGAAAATACAGATAAACAAATGAAGCGGGAGACAGAGGCAACAACCCAGGAGCTTCACCATTCTAGACCGAACAGCGATCAGAGCTCCTGGTTATTTGATCAAGCATGCCATTCAGTTTCATCCTCCTTGAGACTTGCGTTGATGTGCCCGACAAAGGTGGAGTTTCTTGGAAGCACATTTGGGTGTCAATACAAATAGCCTGGGTCAGTATGGTGAAATTCTCTGTGGGCTCAGTGTGGTGTCCATGCTGGTTAAGTAAGTAACCAAGACTCTCAGTTCTGGATTTAAAAATTTCATTCAAACAGCAGATTTTTGTTTTCTAACTTTTCTTTCTGGTTGAGGCTCAGGAGGCTGATATTGCTGTTGGTTGATGACTTCAACTTTAGTGAGGAGAGTCTGCTAGAAACACTTTCTACCTTTTGTGTGTATTTTTTTTACTGTAATTTGTATAACAGGCCGTTTTTATTAGCCATGCTTGTGGTGGGGCTCCATGGAATCACAATGTCAGTGTATCTCGCGGTCGGTCCACAACTTTTGTCCTGACTGAAATATGTCACATTCTGCCATTTGTCCCCCTCTTCAACCACATTCCCTTTTCTTCAAAACCATGTATTACCATTCCATACCTGTCCACCAGATGCCCTCTGACTTTTTCACCAGACTCCCTCATTCACCTGCTCACGTGTTTTCAATTCCCCACATTTGGGTCCCTCCCTGTCATTGTGAACATGTTTGCATGCTGACATTTGCATTTACCTCGAAGCACCAAAGTGCCTGAATACAGCTTCACAGAGCTGCTAGCATGGCTATAGTTAGAACATCTAGCTAATTAGCTTTTCTTAATAGCCATTGTAAGTGAGCTTCCCTTCTTCGGGGCTGTTAATTCACTTACTGCGGTACTTTAGTACTCACAAGTATTTCTTTTATCAGCTAAGCTTGTTTTAAGATATTCATCTAGCTTAGAACAGCAGACCAACCAGTAGGCCTATCCAAAATGCATCTTTTTACTTAATAGCAAAAGCACAAGACTTCACAATATAGTTTTCTTTTGCTGTTTGTGACCCATGGTGCGATACAATTATCATTTAACATGCTCTCCTTTACTTCTCTTTGGCACTTGGTAATTTTTAAATACGAGTTGCAAAGCTGAAAGCAGAATATTGAAAAAATCTACCCTCAATAAAAGTCAATAATAAAGCACAGAAGGTTAAATACTGTGTATATATGACTTTATCTTCTGTCGTATTGGCACACATAAGAATTGGTTAAAATTTTTACACAATGAGATCAGTTTACTTATATTAAATATAGATATTTCAGCCACTGCTGCATCAGTTTTGTCCGTTCTTTGTTTTAGTCTTTCTCTGATGAGTCCCCCAACTTTAAGTGGTTGTGCAATACCGCTGCAGTACCCCTTTAATGCACAACTGGTCACCAAGAATGCACCAGTCTTGTGCTGCCTGGCCACAATGTGGTTCTTTTCTGCGATCTCCTACAGATTATTTCTGCTTCCAGAGCAGCTCTTTCTCTAAAACCAGTAAACAATCTACATTTATGTTTGCCCATTTTAAACTCATGTAGCCCACTTTATCTCATATGAGGCCCACAAGGACATATCGACTAGGAAGTGACCCAGATCCGAAATAATTTATTTGTTGAAACATAAACCACCTGCGGAACACTTTGTGTGACATTTCTAATTGGTTCAAATCATATTACTGTGATCGTAACTTGTGATTTTGCATTTGATTATGTTGGACTGCCACATTGGTTAGTTAATATCAGTGTTTGTGTTGACACACTTTGTCAATCCCTACATGTAATTACCACAATGAGGCTGACACAAATTACTTCTGCTAGTTGATTGGTCATATTTATGCTATATCACACACAACATGAATGCAGATAATCATTACTGGAATTGACTGCACAGATTCATTGACACTGCACCCGAGAGGAGTAAACTAAACTGTTGTGTATTTGCTATAATAAAACCTGCACACAATAGAGCTGCAAATAAAGATATCTGTTGTTGGTTAACCTAGGTGAGAAACTGTCTTCTAAAAGCGTTATTCCAAGAATGTCAGCATCTGCAGGGACTAATCTCTTCCTTCCTTTTGCCTTTTCAGAGCTTAATGAATGACGTGGTCAAGGGAAACCAGCAGCATATCCCAGATCAGTGCTAGCACTTTATTCTTGATGAATCTGAGTCAAGCGGGAGCTGCTCATCCAAGAGCATCGATGTGCCTGGTTGCTTTTCAAAGCAATCATCATAAGGCTTTTCACTGACAGCACAGCCCTGACATAAGCTCACCTCCTGCCATTTGCTTTGTATTCACCATACTATCTTCCATTGCTGTGTCGATACATAATGGGAGGAATGCCTATGAAAATGACATGCACCATGTGCCCAGTGGATAAGCATCACACAGGATACTGTTGACTGCAGTCAGACATCTATTCCACTTGTTCTGTTGCCATGATGTAGAGAATTCTGATGAAAGAGTCACAGTGCCCCCTGGTGGGAAAGTTGGAAAAAGGAAGCTGCAATCTGCATGTGTGTGTACTGGGTGTTTATGTTTATCTAGGTTAACTCAAATGACACGAAGAAATTGGTGTTTGGTTTTACAAAAAGCATTTTTGACTGTTAAAAGAAAGAGAAAATACCACATGCTTGATTGTTAACATGGATACATTTTTACAGAGTAGAACATTCACAATATATAATATTGCTTTTGTAACGTAGTCTATCAAACAGGATAAGTGGTAATGCTTTATTTTATGAATTCTATAGATTAATTTAGTAGTAATTTCTTCCAAGTTTTGAGGAGTTGCTAACAGAGAGTTGATTTTGGCTCAGGAGGTAGAGCAAGCTGTCTCCTAATCAGACAGTGGTTTGATCCCCAGGCCCTCCAGTCTGCATGTTAAAAGTGTTCTTGGGCAAGATACTGAATCTCGAATGCTCTAATGAGTGTGAGTAAGCAATTATGTAGACTGAGGTTAAAAATGACTTGCATAAAAATTACACTTTTTCATGCAGCGGTCATGCAGCAGTCCAATTACATGAAAGGGTCTCTGCTAAATTGATTCTTTGTTTGATTAAAAAGTAGTGTTTACTACTGCTGTAGGTGTATGCAACATCTACATCAAGTTACTTTTGGTATTACTAGAATTAAAAGAGAGTAACTATCTGACAGTTACTGGTACTACTAGAGGATGGTAAGAAATTCTGACATGGAGACAAGTACTTTAAATATGTATGTTTCAATGCTATTATTTATTGTGTGTAGTTTAAACAAACTCCACGCTCAGAGCCAAACCAGTGAATGTATCTCCTAACAACTCCAGTGTGTCTCACAGCCTGATGCCTCTTATTCCTCTAAGCCATAGAGCTCCATTGTTGTACAGAAACAACTAAACCTATCAGGGAGCCTCACTGCTACACTGGCTGACATCACCTTCATCACCATGAACACACAAGCTGTAGTTTATTCTGACCCACACACATAACATACATAACTTGTACTGTCATGTCAGCAGGTTGCCTGCTAATTGGAAGATCGACAGTTCAATCTCAGGCTCCTCCAGTCTGCCTGTCAAAGTGTCCTTGGGCAACATACTGAACCCCAAATTGCTGCGGTGTATGAGTGTGTGTGAATGTTAATTGCTGTTTCTGATGAGTAGTTGGCACCTTAGTGTATGAATGTGTCTGAATGGGTGAATGTGGTGTAGTGTAAAGCTCTTTCAGTGGTCAGAAAACTAGAGAGGCACTATACAAGTACAGTCCATTTATCATTTACCACCATGTTATGTCTATCATGCCAATTTTCAGCTGGTACTGTACACTGATTTTGTTGTATTGACCAGAAGTGGTTTCTAGCGTTTTGATAGTTAGTTCATAGCTGAGATTACTGACAGTGACAAAGCCCTGTTAACCCCGTGACTCACTGAACCTTCTCACGGTTCATTTGAATCCATCACCCTACAACTGAACGGCCCTAGTACACCCAAGCCCAATACTGACTTTATAAATGAATTTGCTGCTTTTCTCACATTTATCTGCTCACTCTCGCCTAATGTAATACTGCTTGGGGATTTTAATATACATATGGACAATACCACTAATGCATACACAAGGGAATTTCCATCTTGCCTGGACAGTTTTGGATTGGAGCAACATATTCACTTTCCCACTCACTCCAAAGGTCATGTTTTGGACTTGGTATGCTGCTCTGGTGTTGCACTGCGGCTGACCTCCCCATTTCTGATCACAATCATTTCTTTTAATATCAACTTAACACTGTCTAAAATAAAACTGCCACGTGTCATTTCATTCAGAAATATTAAGGACATTAATTTAAACACTCTCTCTAGTGAAATTGACTGCCTCGCCAGTATAAACTGTTTTTCCAACCTTGATGAACTGGTTTCTCACTACAACGATGGCCTTCAAAACATTTTAAATTCTCTGGCTCCTTTAAAAACCTGGACTGTTTCCTTCACCCATTCTGCCCCATGGTTTACATCAGAACTACGCCAACTGAAGGTAAAAGGTTGTCGCCTGGAACACCTTTACAAGAAAACTGGACTAAATGTATAAAAAACACATTCTCCACTAAGGACGTTCTTTCTACAGCCAAATCCACCTATTATGCAGGTATAATTAGTTCAGGCGAAGGAAACACCAGAGCCCTGTTCTCCATGGTCAACAACCTACTACTGGTGTGGTGACGGCGCAATGGATAAGACTATACCTTTGGTGTGAGAGACCTGGGTTCAGTACCCCACTGTGACCCATCCACCAATGTGTTCCTGAGTAAGACACTTAACCCCTAGTTGCTCTGGAGGCGTGTGACCTCTGACATGAATAGCAATTGTAAGTCACTTTGGATAAAAGCTTCAGATAAATGTATGTAATGTATTACAACCAACGGACTCTCTCTTTTTAATGCCAAAGTACACAGGATTCACCAGCAACTGACTACTTACACCTCTCACAGTCTTTTTCAGTGCTCCCGACACCTCTTTCTTGTTCATTTTCAAGTTTCTCGCTTCCCTCTGTTACTGAAATATTGGAAATTATTAGAAATTCGAAACCAACTACTTGTCAGCTTGACCCTCTTCCTACCATCTTAGTAAAAGCCTGCTCACCCTCTCTCTCTTCCCAAATAACTACCATTATACATTTCTCTCTCACCTCTGGTATTGTTCCCTCATCTCTAAAATCAGCTGCAATAACTTCTATACTTCAGAAACCTGGTGCAGACCCCAACAATTTCAACAACTTCCATCCTATTTCTAACCTACCTTTTCTTTCTAAAGTCCTTGAAAAAACAGTTGCATATCAGGTGGATGCACACATGTCTGACAATAACCTCTATGAACAATTCCAATCTAGTTTCTGTCCCTGCCATAGTATAGAAACAGCTCTGGTAAAAATTACCAATGATCTTCTCATGGCAGCTGATTCCGGACTACTAACTATACTCATCCTCCTTGATCTGAGTGCAGCCTTTGACACCATCTCTCATAACATCCTCCTTGACAGATTATTCTCCATGGGTTTCACTGATACACCCTTGGACTGGTTTAAATCATATCTCTTTGGCCGCACTCAGTTCATCCAACTCAAACATTTCAAATGAGAGCTATCCCCTGTCACTACCGGTGCCCCTTCAGTTCCCTTCTGTTCTATCTACCACCTCTTGGCCATATCTTCCATAAATTTAACATCCATTTCCACTGCTATGCGGATGACAGGCTCTACCTGTCCTCTACTTCTTACCATTGACAGCTCCACAGTTTCCCCTTCCCCTAAGGTCAAGTGTCTGCGTGTGATCCTCGACAGCACACTTTCATTTCAAGCTCACATTAATAATGTCACTCGGTCTGCATACTTCCATTTACGTAGCATTCCTCGCCTCCGACCATCTCTCTCACCCACTAGTACAGCCACTCTCGTTCACACACTGGTCACACTCCGCATTGATTATTGTAATTCTCTTCTCGCTGCTCTTCCTCTCAAATCCATAGATAAACTTTAACTGGTTCAAAACTCTGCCCGTATCATCACCAGAACCCCTTCTATTAATCATATTACTTCTGTCCTTCAGCAGCTTCATTGGCTCCCAGTTAAATACCGCATTGATTTCAAGACTCTGCTTCTGACCTTCAAGGCCATTCACAACCTCGCTCCTCTGTACCTCACTGACCTCCTTCACATTAACACACCCACCCGTACTCTTAGGTCTTCTTCTTTTATTCACCTCACTGTACCTCCTGCTAGTTTGACCACCATGGGGTTCAGAGCCTTCAGCCGCTCTTCCCCTTGTCTCTGGAACTCTCTTCCACCAGACATCCGCAACATTGACTTTCCATTTTTAAATCCCGCTGGCATATCCCACGTGATCACCCTTTCTCTTTCTTAGTTGTTATGTACCCTGATTTTATGCACTGTAATTATAGTTGTTAATGTTATCGATTTATTGCTGGACTGTTTTATTATGTTTTGTGAGGTGACCTTGACCCCGTGACCCTGTACGCAGGATAAGCGGTTGACGATGGATGGATGGATGGAGGTGACCTTGAGTGTTTAGAAAGGTGCCTATAAATTAAATTTATATTATTATTATTATTAAAAATTGTGTTGGTTTCAGTCTCAATGTCCCCATGAGGGTGGGTGGGAGAGGTATACTGTACATCACAAGAGACATTTTAGCGCAGTGGTCGGCAATAGGCGGACCGCGGGCCAGAACAGGTGTTCTGTCGTTATATGCTACCTAGCGAGATGGGCTACTTGGCAGTTCTTTGCATGGCTAATGGTTAGAGTTAGGATTAGACGTTAGCAATTTGCATTAAGGTAGCATTTTTCGATAAGGAAGCATAAATCGTTAAATCGCCCGCTGTCACATTGCTTTGATAGCACAAAAATAAAAAATAAATTGATAGCGGCTGGTGCTGAAAGAGATCTCAGTCATGACAGCAACAGTTACTTGCACAATCACTTCTTCTTAAGTGACTGTACCTCCAAAATAAAAGAACCAGAACGTTTTTTGCAGCAATGCTTTATGTTGAGTTTATTAAGAGCTTTTACTTTGAAGAGTTTTAAAGGGCATTCAAAAGAGACTCTGGCTTAGTTGACACACCTCTGAAAAAGCCATCAGTAAACGTGGGATTAGATTCCCCTGAACTTCCTCAGCATCCATAGGATTATGAATACAGATCAAACGCCAGGACGTGTGCACACACTGCAGCCACTTTATTGTGAGCATGTGCAAAAGTGTCCTGGGAGAAAAGAAAATCTACAGTTATTTGGAATCGATCTTTCAACCTTCCCATCAGGAGTCCCAAACAGTACAGACTGAGCTAAACCTGCACACGAGTATACATGGATCTGAAATAATTTGATTTTGTTCTAGCCCGCCATGTAACGGCTTGAAAAAAAATTTGTCCCGATGCCAGACTTATTTGCTGACCCCTATTTTAGAGGATATATAAGGACTTTGACATCAATCTCAGCCCCAGTGTCTTGATATTACCACTAGGTGTCAAAAGTCATACACATATGGACTTCAAAGATAAACAGATGCGTATTTTTGGGTTACAGAGTTGCTCATGTGGGTGATCTGTTAATCCAGGAAGCGGTCCAGCATCCTCTGGATGTTTTGGAAGGCGTCTCTTCCCAGGTAGTCAGCCTGCCCGGCCTCCCACAGCCTGCGATGCTCCAGCCTCTCTGCCTCAGTGTCTGCAGCCCTCTGCCATGATGAAGAGGGAGAATAACAGATTAGTCTTCAAAGCGAATTTATCACAAGAAACATCAGACCCTCTATGCAGGCTGAATTTTTGGGTTCTAGTTTCAAGCTCTAAGAATTTGCAGTTGAGCATATACAATTTCAGAAAAGCCAGGTTGTCAACATTCTATATTAATTATTCATTAATATGCTTATGTTATGACCACTTTCAACCAACCTATGCCTTATTGAGCTTGGAAGGAAGATTTCTAACAAGGCACCTTTGTATCATTTCAAATAAATGCTTTATTAATGGTAACAAATAATTAAACTATTAATAGATATGTAGTGAGGAAGAGCAGCTTTTGATTACATTATAATTAAAGGGGCTGTATATAGTTTTTCAATGAAATCACTTATAAATAAATAAAATTTTTACTGCCTTTTTGTCAATGGTCTGTAAGCTCACTTAGAAATGAAGCAGCCACTATTGTGCTTTTAATGTGAAAGTACAGGGTTGGGATGTAGCTGCATGCGTGCTCCCGAGGCTCACATATATAGGATATCATATAACATAGGATATTTAAATGCAATAGCTACAGATTGCCTGAAAGCCTTATTGTATTATATTCTATAAATTCTTATATTTTGAATTGTCACCTGCTCCCTGAATGTTGTGTTTCCCTTTACATAAATGAAGTCCCCTCCACCTTTAAAACTGAAAAAATGCTCTTGCATTTCAAGAAATCTACCCCATAATGCAAGATGAAAGTCTCTGAGTTGACACACAGTTTATGGAGGGACACATATAGGTTTCCCAATTGAGGCTGTGATGTGGACTTTTAGGATTGGGCAGCGTGGTGGGGGCACCAATTTAAAATCTCACCTTTGGTTCCAACATTGTCACTGTCATCCCTGTGCCGATGTATCACATCGGCTAACTACAGTAAATATAATGTTACCATGTAACAAGCATGGATTACGTCAACATCAAGCTGATAAAAGTATTACTGTAACGGTTCAGTGGGAATTTACCTGACTTTCCAGCTTGTTGTGTGAATATGTCTCCCTGTCTGTCTATAGCCGCTTTCACACTGTTTCATGGTTCACATGTTGAAAAGTAATTATGCAGTGTATTTCTGTCTGTGCAGGAGTATTTTCACTTTCTACCTTATACTTTAAGATAAATAAGGAGTCAGTACCAGAAGCTGAATAGTTTTTTAGAGTGCCTTGTTTGCTGCTCTGATTTAAGTCTAGTTTAAACACAGAAGAACGAGCACACATCCAAACCAACCTGTGGGTAAGTGATGAAACAAAGAATCACCTGCACAGAGTAACAATGAATCCCACTAGGTGGTATCATTAATTGTGATGATGCAAACTGAGGTCTTAGATTCTGAGGTCTATCGAATGCACCTTTGGTAAATAGGTGCATCTCTACAAATGTTAGATCACACTATATTCAATTAACATAAACTGATAAATGAAGAATGTGATTTTATTTTAAGTAAATTTAGTCAGATACATTTTATATATATATAAAAAAAAGCAAAAGTTTAACACATTAAAATCATATCTTGCATTCATAAAAACATCAATATTGAAAAGTGTTTCGTATGACCTGAAGTAATGTATTACAACAGTAAATATAATGACAGAACCTATAGGAACCCAGTGTCATAATTTGAAACCAGCAGAGTCCAGGTATTAAAGTAATAGAAAAACAAAAGGCTGAACAAAGCAGTAAGCTGCCGGATCTGGCAGGGCCACACTGGAAGCTGGGACTTCTGTAGAGCTGGAATCTGGTGCTTCTCATCTGATATGATGCTGCCATCAGTTCATCTGGCTCCTGTAAACACAGCAATGACAGAAAGTTACTGACAGCCTCTTCCCAACTGCTATAAACCTACTGAACTCTGCGATCGCCTCAACATGATAACCTCTCTGTCATGTAACAGTAATTATGGCAATATACAGTGGATAGAAAAAGTCTACACACCCTTGTTAAAATGCCAGGTTCTTATGATGTAAAATAATGAGACAAAGATAAATCATGTCAGAACTTTTCACCTTTAATGTGATCTATAATGTGAACAATTCAATAGAAAAACAAATTGAAATCTTCGAGGGGGAAAAAAAAGTATTTTTGGGTAGGAGTCTATTAGCATGGCACATCTTGACGTGGCAATATTTGCCCACTCTCCAAATCTGTCAGATTGCGAGGACATCGCCTGTGCACAGCCCTCTTCAGATCACCCCACAGATGTTCAATTGGATTCAGGTCTGGGCTCTGGCTGGGCCATTCCAAAACATTAATCTTCTTCTGGTGAAGCCATGCTTTTGTGGATTTGGATGTGTGCTTTAGGTTGTTGTCGTGCTGAAAGGTGAACTTCCTCTTCATCTTCAGCTTTCTAACTGACGCCTGAAGTGTTTGTGCCAAAATTGCCTGGTATTTGGAACTGTTCATGGAATAATAATAATTCCCTCCACCCATACTTCACTGTGGGTATGGTGTTCCTTGGGTGATGTGCAGTGTTGTTTTTGCGCCAAACATACTTTTTGTAATTATGGCCAAAAAGTTCTACCTTGGTTTCATCAGACCATAACACATTTTCCCACATGCTTTTGGGGGACTTGATGTTTGTTTTTGCAAACTTCAGCTGGATGTTTTTCTTTGTAAGAAAAGGCTTCCAGTCAGTACTTGCCAGAAATTCCTGCAGTTCCTTTAATATTGCTGTAGGCCTCTTGGAAGCCTCCCTGACCAGTTTTTTTTTCGTCTTTTCATAAATTTTGGAGGGACGTCCAGTTCTTGGTAAAGTCACAGTTGTGCCATATTTTCTTCACTTGGTGGCTTTTGCTCGGAGATGCAACTAAGAAAATATTAGGAAAACCCTACTAGAACAGCTGAACTTTATTTGTAATTAATCAGTCACTTTAAATGATAGCGGGTGTGTAATGACTTCTAGTTAACCTGAGTTTGAATGTGACTGGTTAATTCTGAACACAGCCACATCCCCAGTTATAGGAGGGTGTGCACACTTATGCAACCAGGTTATTGTAAGGTTTTTCTTTTTCATTTTTCCCCTCGAAGATTTCAGTTTGTTTTTCTATTGAATTGTTCACATTATAGGTCACATTAGAGGTGGAAAAAGTTCTGACATGATTTATCTTTGTCTCATTATTTTACATCATAAGAACCAGGCATTTTAACAGGGGTGTGTAGACTTTTTCTATCCATTGTACAATACACTGTTTACTCATAAGTGTAACATTAATCTTGCTGCTGGACACCACTTTACCAGCCAAGTCGGCTCTTATTGTATATTCATTATTTTGCTCTTATGTTAAATTGCTGTTGAACTGGTACTACTTGACATATATTTATAGAATTGTAATGCACCTTTGTTTTGTCACAAAAGTAATCTGCTACACTTGAATGTAAGCAGGGCATGAAAGGTTAAAAATACATGCAGCTGGAGAGCCAAACTCAGAAGCGACTGTCATACAGCTGATTTCTCTCCATTTCTAATATTACTATAACGTTACCCATCTCATTAACACGGGCATTACAGCCCACCTAAGTTACCTGTCTTTACTGACACAACAACCGCTCCCACTGCCGCTTCCCCTCAACCCTCAGCCCCGTTGTCCCTCAGTCCAGGTATAGCCACTTATTCTAGTGACACAGTGACTCTGTTACATTAACTTTAATGTTACTTATCCAAATCTGACAATGCCTCTTTGGCAAGTTTACCGTTTACATTAAGTTAACGTCACATAACGTCACCTAACTGACAAGATGGGCCATTAACGTTACTTTACTAACGTTACTTACCTTCTAACAGACGCCTTTTGTTCCAAAGTGTTTTCACCATAAATTAAAACACTTCTCTAATACGTTTTGACGTCTGGGCTTGATTCTTTATAAACTGCAGTTAGCAGACTCCTGTTATTTAAGCATCGTTACCAAAGCTTAAAGCTGGCTATTAGCTAGTTAGGTAACATTAGCTCCTGTGATGGACTGGCGACCTGTCCAGGGTGTACCCCGCCTTTCGCCCGATGCCAGCTGGGATAGGCTCCAGCCCCCGCGACCCTGTCGCAGGATAAGCTGTTGACGATGGATGGATGGTAACGTTAGCTAAGCTAACAAGCTAAAGTTATGTACCCATACCTGCTAATTATTGTAAGACATAATTAAAATACTACAATTTCACTCACCAACTGGAGCACAGGCTCGTGAGGGTTCTCTTTCTCTCCAATAAATCCCCAAGCCTGCCATTATTCATCCGGTAACTGCATGAAGAAATGTCAAAAACGGTCCCACAGAGCGGAGCTGCCGAACTCAATAGCTGTGTCTCAATTCAGGGACCGCATCCTTCGAAGGCTGCATTTGAAGACCGAATACGTCACAGTCGATGCGACTAGGCTGTCCCATATCGAAGGCTCCTTCAAATGCAGCCGACAAATGCAGCCTTCTTTTCGTCCGTTTGGAGGAACCAACAGCTGGATCCTTCGCAACCCCAGGTATCCTGACATTAATTGCGCGCCGGTTGATTGTCCCAGCGTAAATAATGGCGTCGGCTGTGGCTGTGGAGTTGAGCCCCCCGGATTTTACCTATAAATGTAAGTATTGGATTTCAACTCACTTCAAAAGCCAACTATATAAATGTAAAAATAATTAAAGCTGCAAGCAGCGTTGGGCGGGCCCTCGCACTTGTAGCGCGTCCGGGTGTGAGCCGGCCGAGTTGCATATTCTGGAGCTCTGCCGGTGCGGCTGTGAATTTGCTACGCGGTTCCGACGCCGCATGAAAGTGTTATATGTCACTTCCTGTGTCCCCTATGTGGAGCTACATAGCACTTGCCGCTATGAATATAAATCGGTATTGGTGTGTAGATGTCTGCGGGGTGGGAGAGTTATCAAGTACGTAAAGTTTTGTTCAGATGTGAGCATGTACACTGAAGTTACAACAACTTCCTGTGTCATGGCGAAGAGTTGATCTTTGACGCCACGCCACATTGACGAA